TGTAAAGAGGGCATTTGACAACTGACCGTATCGATATAAACACTGATATTAAAGTGCTCGGTGATACATACAGAAATAAATTTTATACTTTTGATTCGTAAGACTTTATTTTATTGCCGTGTGTTTCATACTTTAAAAACAAATGTTTGTTTGATTTGTCTTGGAACGTTTTTTTAATAATGAAACGTTGCAAAAAATATGAAATCTTGGATAATTGTATGTTAAAGCCATGTTAAATGAGCAAAGAAATTCACAATTCCATATGAAATATTTAAAAAAGACATTTTAATAAAGTCATTATCTATATAAAACCATTGACTGTTAAACTGTAGAGTACATGTCTCTTAAATCAAAAGGAAGGCAATCACGTGTACCAGACCACTAAAACTCAAAAGTCATTGCTCTATTCGGAATTGTTATTAATGATAATAAAATGTAATCATTGTAAAGGGACCAACATAATGTATCCTTGGCAAGAAAGAGACTTTTTTTGACAAATTAAATGAGTAATATGTCGCTCTATCAAATTAGATAGGGTTATATGTTTTATAGAGATTTTTTGGCGAGGTAAGTTTGATAACTAAGCCCGACTTCCATACTTAACCACTCCTTATCAAGTTACGAGTATGTCAAAATGAAAAGGGGACGACGAAATGTCGAATAGGACATCGAGTATTCAGTCTGTTAACTGCAATCACACAATGAACACTACAGATGTCACGTAATTATGCCAAAATTGCTGAGCCAAGTTAGTAATAGACGAATGCTCAAAACTATATCTTCTCTCAAATATATGATCGTTCAATCCATTTCGCCTGTTTGAATTTAAAAAGTAGGAATATAATTAAACCTGTCTCGTGTCAGGAATATTCAATTTAGATTTTTTTTCTGTTCTTTTCATTACAGGTGAAATATAAACGAATTAACCACATGTTTCAATGAAAAAATAACCTATGGGTTTTAAATGATAAAATCAATTTAACCATATCAAACAACATTTGTGTCTCTTAAGCTCTTAAAACAGTTCTTTGTATCAATAGTTTACAATCAGAAAAATAACAAGTACCTGTATAGAAGGTATCCACTGAAATCAAGTAAAGTATATTTCAGAGCGGCAATTAATTTCATTTTTATTTATTGCAATGCAAATCGTATCTCTTCTGATGTATCTACTCTCTTGACCTTATTTAGGTAAACTATGTCTTATCTACGTTCTTCCTTTTACACTATTGCACTTTTTTCATTATCCCTCATGAACAGACTCAATCAAACCGAGTCTGCAATTTTCATGTTATTTTGTTGTGATTATTGCTGCCCGGGGATCACCCTTTTTCACAAGTTTTCTCTATCTAACAAATTCAATTTGGGTGTATTTTCTCTTCATGCATATATTCTTTGTTTTGGTATGTACATAATATTATGTTTACATGTAAATATAATATGTAAAGTAGGTATTGTTTATGCAATGAATATTGTTAGTTGTTACAGCACTTTTCTGTCAATTAATTTTATTGTCTTTATTTTTTTTGTGTGGTAATAAATAGATCATTCTAAATGTAAAACTTAATAAAGCTAGATTTATCTAGTATTATACTGATGAACAGTTTAAAAATACCAATCAATACATTTTTTAATTAATGTTATTTTTTTTTAATTCTAAACATATATAAACATATTGAAAAAAATCTCGTAGCAAAGGACATTAAACGTTTTAATCGACTGTTTACTATATCGTGATATGTATATACATAATATATGCTGTTATTGGGCCAATGATTGGAACGTGTCTTCATTTTAGTTAAAAGTTAAAAACTGATATAGAGAAGTCATTGTGGCACACACCAGGGTTTCTCGCATTTAAACATTGAAGTGAAATTATTTGGCTGCTGCTGTTTTCAAATTACATTTTTTCTTCGTAATCTTCACAGTGTGATTTTTACATGTATATATCTACAAAACCGAGCACATTTATAAGTCAAGGATTGCCAGTTCATTTCTAACAACAATATCGTAAGGGAAACATCACTTAAGAGTGCTAGAAAGAAATGATTGTACTTATCAATCATGTAAACGCTAATGGCATGCTTGTATCCAGAAAATAATTTCACATAACTTTAGCATAAATTAAGAATAACTTGAGCAGAATTTGATTAGTATTTTAGAACGAAATGGAAGTTAAAATACTGCTTTGTTTATATTATGCAATTTGAACAACACATTACTGCATGTTCTAAAATGCTCTTAATTCATTATCAAAACGTTATTAAACACATGTTTGACATTTCTAAAACATATGGATCTCTGAGGCATAATGTGCCTGTAAGAGTGTTTTACTTCATGATATTTGCATATCCCCATATGACTACTCTGATTATTCGTTAATAAAACATCCCCTCTTTAAGTATATTGATATGTTGAAATGTTTTCGATTTAAAATATGGTTTAATGATCGGAATTTTCTAAATTTATAATAATTTTAGGTAATCTGTCATCCCATGAATAACTTTTAAAGTTATTACCGAAGCTTTCACTGCGTGACTTAATTCATTAAAATTACAAGATGGTGATGTCGGTGACCTTGTCGTGAAAATATCATTTTAAGTAAACAGCCTAAAACAGCCTAAATGTTTTGCAGTATATTCTTAAAATAGAAAGACCTGTTCATTTACATGCGAATTCATCAAAACAGCTTTTGTAATTGCTGTATTCATTTCACCTATTTTGTTATTAGATTTTAACTTTAACTTATAAACAAATTGAGCACAGCAATCTTTTGTTCATTTAAAAAAAACATATTTTTGTTTATGTCCCAAATCAAATGAGAATTCATCTTTGCTTGATATAGAAATTATGTTAGTTTTTGTACAGGGACGCATTTTTCATAAAATCTCTATATAATTGTTATGTAATTTGAAATTGAAATTTATAGAAAAAATGCTGTAGGTGTTATACTGATAAAAGTGAAAAGTTGTAGGCGTTTTTCAGATAAAGTGCACTCGAAATAATCGAAACCATAAACTGTTTTTACTTGCACCGAGCATTTAGTTGCACAGAAACGCAACAAACTTGATTGATTCCCAGTGTTCTACTTTGTTCTCGTTTGTTTGCAGGAAAAGGTAGAATAAACATTATATTGACATTCCACGTAAAAAGACCTATCTTTAAAGATAAAATGGACATTAAAACCGTGCTTCAGTGCACGTACACATTTATCTATGTTCATTGATCTGTCCCGAAAGAATATGATTAGACCAAGATAATTGAAATCTTTGCATCAGTTTAAGAGAGTGAATCTTTATACATGTAATACATTACTTCCGTTGGCAACTGCATTTTGACGCCAATTTTATTAATCGACCAAATCGTTTGAAATTACTCTAGTTTCTGTTGCCATCTTTGCCCAGGGGATTGTTTTCATCCAATCTTTTTTGTACGTTTCCGTCAATATGCACTTATAACAAGCAATAACGTCGACTTTAATATTACTTAACAGGTCGGTCACATCAATTATGTAACAGATACCTTATTATGCCTAAGAAATGACGGTCAGGTCGGGATATCATCACACTATGTCCACTTTTTGTAAGATGATTTTCTCCTCATATGAATAATGAAATCTGTCAGACTGTGAATTAATTTCATGTAGTAATGAAAACTGGCAGGCTGTGCAAAATTGGTTCAACAAAAGGTGAGTAAAGTAAGAAATGTAACATATGTTCCTTAAAGCCATTTTATGTCTTCACTCGTAAAGTTCATATTTTCCATATTTTATGGTAAGGAATGTATATACATCCTTTAATCCACAATGTAAATAAATTGTACACCTATGATAATGTCTTCATGTAAGTTTTTCAGTGATGCGTTGGAGAATACCTCTGCATTCAATGGCCATGATCAAATGCCAACTTAATATGAAGCTGATATATGATTTCGTATCATCCAAAATGTACAATTATAATTGACTGATTATCAAAAATACAAGTCACATACCGACCTTTCTGCTACACGTCTGTATTTTTAAACTGAATATCTATATCGATTTTTCAGAATAATTACTAGCTGATTTTATGGGAGTATATGGCATTTGCACCGACAAAATGGGCATCATTTAGTTATTGGCATGTAAGAAAATACATATCTTTATGTTTATTTTAGGTTTAATGCCGAATGGTTATAAAGATGATTAATCAGATTTGCAATCAATAAAACTATGTGACAGCATATCGGTTGCTTACTTTCATAATGGTTTGTCTTATAGGTTTCATTGGTCCGTCAAAAGATTTTTGAATTTTGAAAAATGTTTTAGAATGATTTAGGAAAAATTAAATAAGACAGAAAGAAACAATTATTATATAACATCTATGATATAATTTATGTAACATTGATTTAAATATAGTAATAAATTGATTCAGATAAGAAACATTGCCATACGTTTTCAACATACTTATTTGTGTATTTTTCCTTTTGTTAAAGTAACTTTACTTTGTCATACGTTTTCAATATGTCTTCATTGTAAAATGTATTTGTATTTGTGTGTATTTATGTGTATTTGTGTTTATTTGTGTGTTTTTATGTGTATTTGTGTGTATTTATGTGTATTTATGTGTACATGTATTTGTGAGTATTTATGTGTATTTGTTTGTATTTGTCGTTTTGAATGATACGTTATGTACTTAACATTTTCTTAATCATGATCTAACAACGTCCCTGTGTTGAGAGGCAAACGCCTTACTCGAATGACATCTACAAAATTTCCACTTGCCTATATTGGTTCATATCTCTCATTGGCAGTTTTGGATTCGACTATAATAGCAAAGCATGCACTTTATTTCTTTCTTGACTTGTCATGAACCTTAAGAAAGTGGATGCTGTTTAAAGTAATCGTTTATCACATTTTATTTGTTTTCCTAGACTGTCACCATGCTGATTTAAAAAGGATGTTCTCTTATTTTGTAGAAAATGCAAGCCATTTAGGGTAAGAAACAAAAACGCATCTTACATAAGCTTTGAAAAGTTTATTATCCTAAAGAAAGATGACAGATGTAAAAAAAATAATTGAACAAGTATGATTTCAAATGAATGAAAAATATGCTTTACAATAATTAACAAATTAAATAAATTATGAATAAAAAAGTTTAATAACGTAACATATACGAAACATAGATGGAATGTCAAACATACATCACAATGAATGTCACAGTTTCTGGTTGAATGTCAAAATAATCATAAATAAATATTTAGATGGAAATGCAATTATTGCCTTTGACGTAACATACAAATTGAATTTGCTATGAACAAATACAAAAATGAAGTCTAGAATAAACAATAGTATCATTATAAAACTAATGAAATTTCTTTTAAACAACATGCGGTAAAATTTCAACACCTCCCGTCCATTCTGTAGTTCTCCCGGCACATGTGAAGTATTATGCCAATTTAACTTAAACTTTGCGTTTTGTTGTTGCTTCCATTACAGTGATATTTCTCCGTGTAAAAAGGACAATAAAATAAAATAAAAAAGGATATTGCGTTGGTCACAAATCAGTACAAATATATTTCCATAGTAAAAATTATTTCAAATTTGCCCCTTTCTATCAATACACTTCACAATGCTTTCATTTTTACAGCACGTGAAAAGTTGTTAAGTCACAACCATCTAATTATTAATATATGTTCCTCAATGTCGTGTCAACTTTATACGACACACGAGTTCAATGAACTTTTTCTTATCAATTGATCGATCTTTGTCGCCCGCACATCCCATAACAGCTTTTTCAACTTCTTCGTCTTCAAATGCACGGCCACTTAAAGTTTTTAACTCTTTAAGAAAGTCAAAAAGACCGGCAATATCGGCTGTACCTTTACCGTCATCTAACTTTTCGAATCTGTCTAGATATTCGTTGGAACTGAAAATGAAAAAAACACCTTTGTCAAAGAAATTATAACTCAATAATGCCATCTTTATTTAGAAGTAGGTTATTCTTATTGAAGTTACAGGATGTGACAGAAAATACCTTATCTTATTTCGTATTGCTGTTGTATAGTGTTCAAAGTTACACAATATTGTATTTTAGTCAGCAAAGTAAATACAAATGTAATTAAACAAAAATAAACGGTACGTCAAAGTTTAAACATGCACGGTTCATAAGAAATCTTTTAAAATGTTAAATAAGTTTAAAATACTGACAACAAAAGTGCAACTGGCAATTCATTAAAAGAAGTAAAGATACACACCAACAACAGATTTTATAATAACACAATGCATTACAACGATTTTTTTATAAGTCATTCTTTAAACATTTTGCTATAAAAAATCCCATCCCTTGTATATTTGGTTTAGAACTAACCATACATTCTTAAATAACGCTTGTCTGACCAGTCAGTAACTAAAATTTATTTATTGTTCAACTATGGATGTACAAATAAAATTTGAAACAAGCTTTAATGACATTTTAGTAACAATGCAAGCAAATTAAACTAAGTTTAGCGAACATATTTTGTTATATCATTGTGACACTTGCAATTACAACCATTCTAAAATAACACGTAAATTGTGTTGTTTTTGTAAAATCTAGATATCTTTTTCATTTTACTTTAACGTCGAACGCTAATGGGAACGACTCTTGAGTTACACTATTGTCTAATGGACGTTGCGTGATTCGCTCGCGGCAAAGCACATTTCAAGAAAAATAGGGTCTATGTGACATTAAAGTTAGATATCGTGTTTCAATTAAATTATAGTTCCTCGACCAGAAAGGTTAGTTTGCCATTAGTAAGACATTTGACTGTGAGAATGGACTATTTTCACTCAAACATAGACATTTGACAAACGGCCATGTCACTATAAACATTGGTATTAAAATCCTTTGATAATGGTTGAACAATTTTACAAAATGCATGTTATTTGGTAAAATTAGTTTTTTTGTTCTTTACTTGATAAAGAGGTTTAAAGTGTTTTATTTTTGGTTATGGAATATTAACTATAAATAAACAACTTTATTGCATAACTTAACATCCCACATGTAACAGCCTTCTTAAAATTTAACAACAGGTGTTATAAATTTATTTACATAACTAATCAATTCACTAATAAAATCTGAAATTATCATATAGTTTAAAAACTTTTATACAACCTAATAACTTTCTAATAGAATTACAGAACTTTGCTTTTATATAACTTCAAAACGTACATACAAACTTCATACAACTTTCATATCTTACTTAAAAAAGAGTAAAGCAGAATCCCGACTGACGATACCGAAAAGTGCAAGTTACAGTTACCGTCACCACCCTAGCACCGGCTTACGCAGAATTCAAATAAATAAACTTACTTATATCCAAAGGTAGTATAAAATAGATAGAATTCCCAGGCACTAAGGATATCATTGCCGTCTTTATCGAACATTTCGAACATAAGTTTAGATCTATCTTGATCAAGCTGGAATTCCTTCTGAAACATCTGTAACGCAGTGTCTTTGTTCAGCCTTCGGACAAAGTTAACTGTGTATTTGTCGAACACCTTTTGTACTTCATCTCTGAAAAAAGCCAAAATCAAACATTAGTCCTTTACAAGCTGAATGACATTAATGGACTTGGACTATTTTCATTATAGATAAGTCAACTATGATTTTTTAGGAATATCAAGATGAAAATGTAAAGATGTTCAGTCGACAAAGAGCACAGATGTGAAGGCTGGCCTAGCTCTATACTTGTGCCAAGGGCTAGCTAAGGTTCCAGAAGGTTTAGGGTTAACTGCTGGTGAAAAAAGCTTATTTTGGGCTATTTATTCTGCTTAACAATAAGTCATTCAAATTGTTTCGTATTTAAATGATGAAGAATGCAAAGTACTAAAGTCCTCGGAAGTGGACATTTGATCTTTGTGCGCGAGAATCACAACATTTAAAAATTAAAGCAAACTAGATGGAAAAGCACTTCTTCATATCTCGATAATTAAAAAAAAAATGTTACGTCAGTAAAATGATTGCTTTATTGATTGAATGATTGCTTTATCGTTCCCATTTACAATATTTTAATTACATAGCGTGTGGCATCACGTGGACAAATCACTAGTCACATGATATTAACGTGCTGATAAACGTCACCAAACCCATAATACTGAGCGACGACAATCAAGAAAGCTTCAAGATCTAAACTATAACCCGTCCGTGATTGAACCCGTCACTTCCCGCATACCAAGGACTAAATTAATCTAGATGCGTGCAAACACTTATATATATATCTATTGTATTTCACTATGAAATTATGCCGGAAATCAACAACTGAAATGCACATTCACCAATTTTACATTAAAAGTTGCTAAAACGTGTAAAATGTAATAAAATTTTCTCTATGATCATGTTGCAATATTAATTTAAAATAATCAGTAACAGATGAACGCGCAACTTGTATGTCTTTATCAACACGCGATCATTGGAGCAGTTCGCGCGCATTTCAAAGCAGACGATAAATTTGAATTTAAATATGTCGTCAAAGGGTGATATAAATTTCCTTTTTATATCAATTGCCAGGATGTAAAAACGTAATTTATAGCCGTCATATGTCTTCATTTAAAATCAATTATTTCATGTATAAAACATTCACTTTGCCATGTATAGTGTGTTTCTATAAATAGAATCAAATTATAATATCTTTAATTAGAATATGAAGTTAAAATAGAAAGAACTTTGTTTTATTGCATCATTTTTGTTCTTCCATCGAAGTTGACAACCAATGCTAACTTAGGCCAATGTTATTCTTAATGACCTTGACATTTACTATTACGTTTAAAGTCTGGTTCTCAATAAAAGAACAATATGGCATGACAAAAGCATTAATCATAGATTGTTGGCAAAGGTTGTAAAGTTTGGTGACCAATTATAAATGAAACTTAGACAATGGTAATATATGATTAAGAGATAACTAAAAATAGTTTTAATAATTATAATGAATATAGTACTAGTACTTAAATTTACTGCCTATAATGAGGGACAATGTTGGATTATCTTCCCTTGATAAAAACCAAGGTTAACCAAAATGTAAGTAGGTCCAAATATTTGGAATCCTTTGGTTTTATCGTTGAGTTTTATGTAAGACAGGTTGATATGTTTTAATCAATTATTTCCACATGCATCAACAAATATGTAAACAATAAGTAAAAAATGTTTCATTTATGTCAACAGATTCTACATCTTATCGCAATATTTAATCTGAATATTACAAATGATAATAATTAGCCCTAATTAATTCAGTTTGCTACAAAGAAATAGGCGATAAAGTCCGAGTAATCCAATTGCTTAGGACCTATCTATTTATAGGGAGTACTCAGGGGAGGTTATTCACTAATGTCCCCCATTGACAAATTTAAGCATTGTTCTCACTATGTCAGAAAAAGTATAAGAAAGTATTACAAACTAAAATGTGACCGCTATATTATGCTGTAACACGCGAACCATTATTGTTAATGTTTTCATGATTATGCCACGATAAACTCTAATATCGTTTTGACATTTTAAACATGTTAAGTGTAATTCATATCGCCTTAAGCAGGAAATGGCTATAAAACAAATGTAAGATTTAATCATCTTCTCAGATAACACAGTTTTACTGTTTTGAAATATCGAAAACAATGTTTTAAGATGAGTACGATTGAAGTAACTTAGAGCAATTTATGACATTGTAATTTTGTTACGTTATAAGTTTTATTTTTGTTAGCGCGTAAAGGATTATTTCATATATAATTATTTTTAAAGAAAAACAATTCTTTCCGTTGTAAGATACATTGCGAATTGCCCTGCTCTAGTAAACATATAAAACCTAAGAGTTTGTTTCTTCATTATAAATCATTATATTTAAAATCAACGTTTAAGTTTATTTTACAGGGATGACTTTTCACTATTTGTATAGGGTCATTGACCCCGTGTACACGAATAAATCGCATTATAAAGAAGAAGAATGTCGTCCAGCATTTAATACAATGATGTATAAAAAACACATGTTTACTAATGAAGGTTTTGTTGTCCTTAAACAAATGGCGTAAGTTTCTTATTTATCACTGAGTTGGAATGGTGAAATTTGGTGAAGCAACATTTTTAACAATCACTAACTCTTCCATTGCACCATTAAGTAACTTCCCGACTCATAAGGTTATAAGGCGTGCATCGGATTCGGACAGATGTTGCTTAGAAGGAGGACCGGTGTTGGGGAGGGGGTATTTTGGTAGCTGATGAGATCGGCAATGCTACAAAAATGATGGAGATTTAATGCAAATTTTCTTATTTAAAAAGTAGACATTTTTCTGGTTTGTTTCGGTATTACTTATAAGTCTGACCATTAAAGATAATTATTGAAACATGAGATGTTTATTAAGTGTATTTGCAAAATCAGTCATTTATCGCTCATAACGCGTAAGTTATTACTTGAATTTTAAATCGTTTTACTTTTCCTACATTTCTCATTCATCAGAAGGCATGCAGCTTTAAAGTGATGTTATATTGTAGAAAAGTCACTGAACTCGAAATGTGATTTAAATATCAAAATTGTTTGAGTAATACGTTCAGTGTATATAATGATATATCCATATATGGTAGTGGTTAAACCATAAATAAACAACGCGTGGAATGACAGGTGGGAGTTTATCAGTTAGTATTTGATATAATAGCTAATAATGATATTCCATTTTTTGAAATACGAAACGATAAATAATTTCATGAGGTATTTATTAGAATTCACAGTGATACCTACAGTAACTGGTATCATTTTTGCGTTGGCGTGTGGGCAAATTTATAACCTAAGTTGCTAACAAAAGAACTGTTTGTAACGCGGGTTTTATTACATACATTAATAACATACATTTTGTAACAGTATTAAAGTAATATACAAAAGGGAAATAATATTTGTGTCTATGTGCTTAAACAGTGTTACCATTCTCCGCATGAAACTGTCAATTATTCCCGATACTTCACTTGTAATAGCGGTGGAGAACAAATGACAAAAATAAATCATTCTTAACAAAATCATATGTACTGAAGAACCCCAAAAACTATGTTGGTAGGTAAAACGTTTTCCAATTTCACTATAGAACTTATTGAGCATGCATTTAATCTAGTAGATCGGAGAATACAATCTAAAAATCTCAAATATTATTCGACGAAAAATCTGCCCTTTGTCTTATGTTTTATTGTTAATGTTGATACAATTTTCTACTTCCCACATATGTTGCAATCATAGCTATGAAACTTGAACTCTAAAAAGCATTTCACAAGTCGTGCCTTAGCTATTCATGAATCGTATGTTGCATTTTAGTTTATTTATTTCTCTTTCACATCTGTGACATGATGAAATAACTATTAGCAATGTTTGTGTTTGTATAGAAGTATAATTACGATAAAGATTAATCATTTATAAACGTATATATGTCGGTATGATATTTCTATGTTTGATGTATTTTTTCTGTAATACCGTCGATTTTTAGCGGATATCCATACTTTATATGTATATTTCTCTATTCATAGAAATTAAAATATTTGTTTTTTCACAGTCTGGACGATCATATTTGATATTGTATTGTTTAAAAATGAATTTGATTCGGCTTAATATTTAATTAGAAAATTGACCATGCTAAAGAAGCTTTCTGTGATTGAGCCTATTCTTTGTAGGCCCCTTAGCACCGGCTTAAGCAAAACTCAGCAGCAATTAACATTAACATAGTGTAACATTACGGACGAATAAAGTAAAGACTTTAGATATACTTAGTTCCCCTGTGTTTACCTATAACACATGGCCAATCAACGTTATGAAAATTTTATGAATATATATTGCATACTGTTTGAATCAGTAATTTAATGATTAGTTACTGAAGCTGTTCATTTGGTGCCTGCTGATTTAATCACATCAATTTTCTGAATCAATAGATGAAAAACGAGACGGACGAGACGAATTTTGTCACTTTTGTAACACAAATTACTAGTATTAGTTATCAAATTTATCATATTGATATATCAAGAAATTATGTTATTAAAAAAGAATCGCACGAATCAATTAAGATATACTGATACTTTATCATGTTACCGCTTCAATGATATCATAACAAAACAACAATTATGTCTTAAACTGACATCCTGTCTTTTTTACCTATTTACCGCTATTTTACCAACGTGAAAACCCAAAACCATCGTAACAATGCGCGACGAACATGTTCAAGTCACATCCGCAAAAGTCACAAATTTTTGGCTTTACGGCGCACCAACACAATAACGGTCATATGGCGCTAAAACAGGAAAGATGATTTTGACTAACCGCCCCATCTGCTTGAGCTAAGAGATGAGTAGACTCCAATAATTCAAACCCGTTTAGTGGCCTCTTGTGCAATTCTTAAACATGCCTACGAGTTATAAAATGTAATACAATGTAATATGCCAATACAGATCGGTGCCATATAGGATCAAGTAAGATATAATTTAGAATGTTTTAGAAAAGGCGATCAAATGGAAAGAAAAGAAAAAAAAAGCAAATAAGTTAAATATTTGTCATGAAATCA